AAACAAGACTGTTAACCCTGCTAAAGAGTTATGTCTTAAGTCCCCCTCCTTGTGTCCCGTGGATCCCTCTGGTCAATGCTTTATCTCCGCTAGCCCTTTCCCTTCCCCACCTATGAACCTGCAGCGTGCCAAGTCTGTCCTCTTCACAGACAGAACGACAAGAAAAGTAAGTATTCTAGCACAGACTGTACCTAGTTCCTAACTTAGTTGTAGATTAAGCAACCTCCAAGCAACCCCCACCCCCCAGAGCTGGCTACTGCTGCCTGCCGGCTTAGGTCCGCTCCCAACACTGGCGTCCGCTCTAAGTGCATCTCAGCTATTTGATCAATAGACTCCCTAGGTCCATTTCACTCTGAGTTTTCCTGACTCCTTTTTTGTGGTGGGCATTAAGATCTGGTGAATCGCCGGCGGTGGTGGCTCACGCCTTTAATCCCAGCACTCGGGAGGCAGAGGCAGGTGGATCTCTGTGAGTTTGAGGCCAGCCTGGGCTAGCCAGTGAGTTCCAGGAAAGACACAAAGCTACACAGAGAAACCCTGTCTCAGAAAAAAAAAAAAAAAAAAAAAAGACCTGGTGAATCAGGTTGCACCATAGTCTGAACCTTTGGGAGGGAGGAAGTCTCTGCATACACAGTTCGCAAGGTCAGATTTCTGGCTGCTGGTAACAACTTCACATTCTGAGTTATTTCTCATTTAGTAGTAACAAACTGATATTTTAGGGGTAAACATTTTTTCCTTTTCCTCCTCCTTGACAGGGTCTCATATCACCCAAACTGGCCTCAGACCCCATGTGGCTAAAGATGACCCTGAACTTTTAAAAATATTTTACTTTTTTTTTTTTTTTTTTGGTTTTTTTCGAGACAGGGTTTCTCTGTGTAGCTTTGCGCCTTTCCTGGAACTCACTTGGTAGCCCAGGCTGGCCTCGAACTCACAGAGATCCGCCTGCCTCTGCCTCCCGAGTGCTGGGATTAAAGGCGTGTGCCACCACCGCCCGGCAAATATTTTACTTTTTACATGTATGGGTGTTTCGCCTGCATGTAGTCTGTGTAACGTGTATGCCTGGTATCCTCAGGGGCTAGAAAAAGGTGTTGGATTCCTTAGGACTGAAATAATAGTTGTGAACTACCAGGTAGATGCTGGGAATTGAACCAGGGTCCTCTGAAGGAGCAGTCAGTGCTCTGAACTATTGAACCATCTCTCCAGCTCCAACCTTGAACTTCTGATCCTTCTGCCTCCACCTCCCAAGTGGTGGGATTACAGGCCTGTGCCACCACACCAGGCTAAAAAGGTTTTCTTTGTAACAAACGATGCATTGGAAAAGAAAGCCTATAATTCCTTATTTGTTGACAAGAAAGGAGACCAAAGCAGATGAAATTTGCATACATTTTAGAATTCTCAAAACACGGGAAGTAGGAAGAAACCTTTGCCGAGAATCCTAGGAGAGAGCATTATTCAGTTACAATCACCACCTCCTGAATCCCTGACGGGTCTTTTCTGATTTTTTATTAGAATTTTGTTTAATTTCCCAGGTTGACACTGTACTTAGAAACCGAATAGCCCAAAATTGAAATTTTTATGTCTGGGGGAAAAATTTCAGAAAATGTATTCAATGTATCTGATATCAAGAAGGAGAAAAAATATAAAAATCAATCTCTTTCTATTAACATTGAAATGGGAAAGAGATTTAATATACTTTAAAAACCCTTTATAGTATCTAGCATCCCTGTGGTGGGCCATGCTGTTCTGCTAATTGGCCAAGCTACCTATCCTGTTGTGGAAATGGAAAGAGCTAGAGGATAGGCCACCGGCAGGGCATTGGCCTGGGTTCAATCCCAGCACCACAAACACATTTTTTAAAAGGGAAGAATGACGGGACCTTCTTGCTGTGTCCTTGTGTGGCAGAAAAGGTAAGGGCCTCTTTCACAAAGGTGCTTAGTCATTCGTGAGGGGGTCACTTCCCACCGTTACAGCAGGTATTGGGTCCTAATGTGAACTGGGGAGGGGGGGTACCAGGATTCCAGCCATATCACATGGTTACCCCTGTCCTCACTACACCAACCCCACAGAGTAAATAGTCTATCTTCACTCTACCATGAGGAAAATAAGCCTCAGATAAACAGCAGGGCGAGGCCCATGTGACTGAGGACTCACGCTGCTTCTGTGACTTGTGCTGGTCCAAAGGACCCAAGGTATCTCAGGGACACAGTTGCAAGCTTAAGACAGAAGTTCCCTTAATAGGAATGGCTGCCCAGTGTCTGTCCAGGTGCTGACCAATCAGTTAACTGGAGGTCTACGGATGAGGGGCCACATGTGGGTCAGTCAGCAATGGAGGAGAGAAGGAGAGAACCTTGAGCTGCAAAAATGGCTGCCCGGGCCTACTTTTTCTTCCAGTGAGTCCAGAACCCACTTGGGCAAAGCTCTGGTTTAACCCATCAAACCGCTCGCCTGTGAACGCCTGTGGAATTGTTTCTTTGCTCCTCAGCGCCCCCTTGTGCCGCACTGACCCACTTGCTGAGCCTCCGCCTCCTGCCCAGTCTTCTTCAGCTCAGGTCTCCACACCTCCTTGCAAAAGGCTATCATCTGAGCATCAGAGCAGCAGTGACCGCTGGTGTAATTCTTCCCTAGCTGTGCATGGCCTCATGGTCTCGGGAGGTGACAACGTATATAGTGTGTGGAAGACTGACCGAAGTGGGGAACTCCATCCACGAGGCTGTGGGGAAGTCGTGTCTATGCTGGGGTGAGGCTTTTTGTGGGGTGCAGCTGCTTGTGGGTTACTAACACCCCTGTAAATAACCCCGCCCATGCTCTGTAAGCAAGCCCTGTAAACTCACTGGTTCCCCAAATCGGACTTTGGTGGAATGGCACTTTGTTTTGTGGTTGCTTCGCTATATGTGGGGGGGTCTGTGGTACTTTGAAAGAAAATGGCCCCCAAAGGGAGGGGTGCCATTAGGAGGTGTGGCCTTGTTGGAGTAGCCCTGGCTTTGTTGGAGGAAGTGTGTCACTGTGGAGGTGGGCTTTGAGGTCTCCTGTATTCAAACTACATCCAGCGTCTTAGTTCACTTCCTGTTGTCTGCGGGTCTCCAGCACCCTGTCTGCCTGCAGGCTGCCATGTCCTGCCATGATGGTAATGGACTAAACTTCTGAAACTGTAAGCCACCCAAATTAAATGTTTTCCTTTCTAAGAGCTGTCGTGGTCACGGTGTCTTTTAACAGCAGTAGAAACCCTAAGACAGGGCTAGACATTGGTTTATAGCTCCTCACGTCACCTTCCTGTTGGACCGCCTCTCCTATGACCCCAGCTGGGTTCCTCTGACACGGTTCTGGACTTTTCTCTTCTGACTCTTGCACCCTGGCTCAGGGCACTCGTGGTGATGGCTACGGCATGGAATGCATTTGCTAATGCCTTTGCCGACACCGGGCAGGAAGGAGGTTTTTCTATGCTGAGAGGTCCTTTAAACCAATCCTGGCAAGTCAGCACTCTTAATTGGCCTGTTTTACAGATGGCCAAAGCGAACTTGTCAGAAGATGAGTCACTTTGCCAAGGTTTGCAGCCGGTAAGGGTTGTCCTAGGAGATGGATTAAAGAGTGTGTGTGTGTGTGTGTGTGTGTGTGTGTGTACGTGTACACGTGCACGCACGTGCGCTCACTCTTACTGAGACAGTGTAGCTATCTAGTCCAGTCCAGTGTTTGCCCTTGCTGCCATCAAGGGGTTCGGAGGCCAGAGCCTGGTGCCTTCAAAGTGCCCAGCACTGTCTACCAGGAGTGCTTCAAGTCCCTCTGAGCCCGGGCCTTTAAAACCTTCACTTCCAGCCCCAAAGCACCAAACAAACCAGGGAACTGCCTAGAACTGTACACTCCGGCCCCCACGAATACTGAGCGGGAATTTCTGGCATGGGGCCCCGCACTCTGTGGCTTCACAAGTCTCCTAGTTGTCCCTGATGCCTGCCTGAGACTGAGAGCCGCTGGAGAAGGCAGGAGAGAGCCTTGGCCACATCCTTCCTCACCACACTCGCTGCTGGCAGGAAGTGAGTACTTTTGGCTGAGTGGGCTTTTTGTATGTGGTGGCGTCTGTTTGCTCATCACATTTGTTAGAAGGTCTGGCATGAGGGAAAGTGTGTGAATTCCTTAATCATCACACTCTATTATTATTTTTTCCCCACATTTGAGTGTAGCCTAACAGAACAAAAATAAACACGGAGAAATCCAAAAGTGTACATGCTGGTACCTGAGCATCTCATCTAGCGGAGGGCTGGGGATATGATCCCCTGTTCAGTTCACGTGCTTGAACTTGGCCTTCTTGGTGCTGGCAGAGATGGACCTTCTGTGCATCTGCCTGGATGTTAGGGCACACAGACACCCCACTGATAACTACAATTCAGGGTTCTCTGGGCTGGGGCTCTGGCTCTGCTTCAGCACATCTCTTGAAATACTTGATTAGCACACACCCTGATTTGAATGTAGGCTCTGCCATGTACCTGCTGTGTGATCTTGGGCACGTTACTTGGCTTCTCTGGCTCCAGTCTCCACTGCTGTAGGATGAGAGTAGCAATTCCCATCTCGTGGGCCTGTTATGAAGAGGGAAGGAAACGTATGGCATGTAGCAGCTCCACTTTCTAGTTGTGTGACCTTGAAGGAGTTCACCTCTCTGGGCTTCTTTCCTGCCTTGTAACCGGGAGCTGCTGATAGTGTAGGTAGCTTGTAAGTCTGCGGCAGGGCTAAAGAATCTAAGATCTCTATGCATCACTGTAAGACTTACATGTAAATCACTGTTGCATGATAGCGAGCACCTCAGGAATGTTGGCTATTATGTGCATGGCACAGAGCCTGGGATATATATAGTAAATGCTCAATGAACAGTGCCTCTTGCTATTTTGGGTTTCCATCCTGAACTTGTGAATAGCTCTGACCTCAAAGAGTCCTCAGGCTGCTCTTCCATTGCTGGCTTCTCAAGGTTTCCGAACCACTCGCCAGAGCTTGTGTCTTCTGCCGGTTCCCATCTCCTGCTGTTTGTCCTTGGTCTGGCGTGGAGACTCTCTGTTTTGGCTTTACATCCGGTGCTGGCTCATCTTTGTTATCAGTTTGCCTGGATTCGGAGTCACCTGGGAGATGCACCTCCGGGCCGGCTATGCAGACATTTCCAGAGAGGTTAGTTCTAATAGAGGAAAAAGAGCCACCCTGAACGTTAGCGGCACCCTCCTGAGGGCCGGGGGCCTGCACTGAGTATGAGGAGAAAAGGAAACCAGCCAAAGGTTGACTTCTCTTTTCTCTATTTTCTGGTTCATGGGGAGGTGAGGGGCACCAGTCACACACCGCCATTAATTCTGCCAGGCTTTCCCTTCCATGATCTCCTCTACCCTCTCACACGGTGAGCCCAGATGGATTCTTCCTCCCTTACTCCATGCCTTCTTCCCAGGGCACATCTCTCTGGCATGAAATCAGGCAGTTCAGGGTTAAGTTCCTGCGAGGTCACCTTAGAGAACGTTCAAATCTGAATTTTCCCATCTCTAAAATGGGGCTAATAACGTGCTTTTCTTGTAGGGCTGTCTGCAGATGGCATGTATCTGCGGGCTTGTAAGCATTCTCTGAGTGCTCAGCGATGTTTATCTGCTTCTCTGTTTACCTCTCCCCCAGGAGCGACTCACTGTGAACAGAACACACTGATGTTTAAATGGCGGGAACAGAGCTGGCAAGATGGCTCAGCAAGAGAAAGGTATTTTTGCCACGCCCGACCTCCTGAGTTTGATCCCTGGGATCCATGGGGTAGAAGGAGAGCATCAACTCCTGACCTCTGACCTCTGTATGTGCTGGGGCATGCGCATGCGCACATGTACACAAATAAATGTGAAAAGCTAAATGGGGCAAATAATCTGCTTTGCCAGTCGCCAAGTATTAGAGAATCTTCCTTTCTCTCTTACGATTTTAACATTTCGGCGTGTGGGAGGAAGGAATGTACCCAGCTAAATACTTTTCTCACCTAAAAGGGCGCACCACGTACCTGTGCATCTTGGGCAGTGGCAGGAGGTGTTTAAAGCCAGGGTGGGTTGGACGGCGTCCCCTACCCCTGAGGTATGTTAACTTCTTGAGCTAGGGAGATAGACGGCTCAGTGTGCAAGGTGTTTGCTGTACGAGTTCAATCCTTAGCACCCACATAAAAGCTGGGAATGGGGGAGTGTGTCTGTGATCCCAATGCTGGCAAAGCAGAGAGGAGGGTCCCTGGGGCTTTCCCGCCAGCCAGCCTAGTCTTGGTGGATAACATTAGGTTTAGTGAGAGTTCCAATCTTAAAAACAAGATGGAACGTCATCGAGGCAGACACCGGGCCTTGACCTCCGGCCTCCCCACGCACCCTCCCCACATATGTGCATGAACATGTGCACACACACAAAAGTATGTTAAAGTCCTAACTTTCCGTACTGTGCTCTTGCTTGCAAATAAGCACTTGACAGAAGTCAGCAAGTTGAGCGGAATTCATTACGGTAAATCCTGATCCAACGCGAGGCATGTCCTAACGGAGCATTTGGACGTAGAGCCAGTGACGTAAAGTCTCAAAGAGAGAAGGACAGCAATGTGCTGGAGCAGTGGTTCCACAGGTTGTGAACCCCGGCACTGGAGCGATGCACCCACAAGCTAAGGTACGCGGAGGATGGCCACAAACACCAGAGGCTGAGAAGCAAGGGATGATTCTCTTCTAGAGCTGTCAGAGAGAGCCCAGCCCGCCGACACCTCCAGAAATGGGCACCGACACATTTTTGTTGTTCCAGAGCACCAGCTGCTCGTGCTTTGTTCCAACAGCCCTAGAAAGCAGGCACCATTTTGGGAAGCCCGAATAAATAAACATTTTGCCGGCTCTCTAGCTCTCAAGGGTTCTCTGTGCAGCCATCAGGATGGTCATATGATACAGGAAGGAGAGGCAGGCAGAGAGAGCCCTCGGGCTGGATGCCAGCAGGATGACTAGGCCAGAATTCCCAGTCACCGCTTGGCATTCAAACATAATAGTTAAAACTTAAGGGTGAGAGGCTGTGGAGAAGTCTCAGTCAATAAAGTGCTGGCCTTGCAGAACCAGGACCCAAATAAGAACCCCAGAACCCTGTAGTCGGAAGTTTCTTGGTCCCCCCACCACAGCTGCTTACAAAATAATCACTCAGAGGCTTATATTAATTACAATTTGTATGGCCTATGGCTTCAGTTTGTTGCTAGCTAGCTTTCATCTTAAATTAACCCATTCCTATTAATCTATATGTTGCCACGTGGCCATGGCGTTACCGGTCTGCTGGCATCTTGTTGCTCCTTGGGCAGCAACTGGCATCTCTCTTGACTCCTCCCTTCTCCTCCCTGTATCTTTGCTTGGATTTCCCACCTGGCTGTAAGCTTTCTTGCCATAGGCCAAACCAGTGTTATTTAGTATCCAATGAGAGCCACACATATTCATAGCATACAGAAAGACATGCCGCAGCAGAACCCATGTGCGGAGTCAGGCATAGCGTGGGCTTCTAATCCCAGTGCTGGGGAGGAGGGGACAGGTAAATATCCCTGGTGTTTGCTGGCCAGCCAGACTAGCCAGCTTGGTGGGGGTATAGACCAGGGAGAGACCCTGTCTCAAAAAAATAAGATGACAACTGGGCACTCCTCTGGCCTTCACAAGTATATGTACCCACGTGCTCATATATCTACACACAGTGTATCTGCATACATATCAACACACACACACACACACATACACACACACACACACACGAATACACACATAATTAAGGGTCATGCATTTCTTTCTCCCCCCCCCCCCAGATGGGTGCATGGATGTTCATGACAGATCAAGCTCTTAGCTCCACCATTTTGAAATCTTTCATTGTGGAGCTACGGAAGTTTTCCTGTGTTCTACCCAGTCCTGCAGCTGCTCGGTCCCAAGTAAACACACAGAGGCTTGTATTAATTATAAACTGTATGGCCTATGGCTCAGGCTTCTTGCTAGCTAGCTCTTTCATCTTAAATTAGCCCATTTCTATTATTCTATTAATCTATATGTTGCCACGTGGCCGTAGTGTTACCGGTCTGCTGGCATCTTCTTGCTCCTTGGGTGGCGGGCTGGCGTCTCTCCTCACTCTATCCTTCTTCATCTCACCTTCAGTTTGAATGCACCGCCTATCCTTATTCTGCCTTGCCATTGGCCAAACAGCTTTATTTATCAACCAATGAGAGCAACACATATTCACAGCAGACCGAAAGACATCCCACAGCACTTCCCCTTTTCTGTCTAATCAGAAAGGAAGGTTTTTAACTCTAACATAGTAAAATTATATATAACAAAACAGTTATCAAGCAAGAATTACAGTTACAATATCTAGTCTATTTGTATTTGGTAAAATTAAAGAAAAGATTCTATCATCTATCCTGTATTTGTGAGTCTAAAGTTTTATATTTAATTTACCTTTTATCATAACTAAGGAAAACTATAATTATAAGCAAATAAAAATGTTTTGTGATATCTGGAGGAGGAAGTCCTTTTCCCTCCCTTTTTGGTGATGGGGATGTAAAGGGGCCCCATACATGTTAAGCACAGGCTTTACCATAAGCTGTACACCAGCTGCTTGTTCTTTTCCCAGAATATCTTGGCTGTTCTTGAACAAGATGGGCTGATGATTTTGTTTTGCTTTTTTTGTTAAGACAAGATCTCCTGGAGCCCAGGCTGGCCCCGAACTCCCCATGTAGCCGAGGATGACCTTAGACTTCCCATCCTCCATTCTCCAGTCTCACTCCTAAGTGCTGGGATTATAGGCACGTGCCAACATACCCTGTTTATGTGGGGCATGTTAGGATGCACTCTATCAACTGAGCTACAGCCCTGGCCCAGATACACTTTGACTGTGAACAGTCAGTTGAGATTACTCACTACCTTTGGAGCCCCCACATACTCTTTAAATAATAATTAAAAGGCAGTTTATTATTGAAACTACCTACAGATTTCTACCAAGTAAAACTTGGGACATTCTTGGCAAGTCGGTAGCATTTATGAGGCACTTAATATAGGCCAAGGGTTTTCTTTTCTTTTCTTTTTTTTTAAAAGATTTTATGTGTATGAATGTTTTGCTCGCATGCACATGTGCACCACGTGTGCCTGGTGACCAGGGAAGTCAGAAGAGGGCGTCAAATATCCTAGAACTGGAGTTATGTGAACCACCATGTGGGTACTGGGAACTGAACCGGGTCCTCTGTGAGATCAAGTGCTCTTAACTGTTGAGCCATCTCTTCAGCCTTACCAAGGGTTTTCTTAAATTTTGTAAATTCTTTTTTTGTTGTTGTTTGCTTCTCGAAACAGGGTTTTTCTGTGTAACAGTCTGGCTGACTTGGAACTTGCTCGGTTAGACCAGGCTGGCTTCCAACTCAGAGATCACTAAGGGCATGTGCCACCATGCCTGGCTTAAAACTTGTAAATTCTTAATGTAATGTACATAAAGCATATACAGGGCACTAATCTTATGTGTATAACTCAGAGAAACACACGCACACTCTTCTGTAATCATCACAAGCACCCCCAAAGGTCCCGATATGTTCCTTCCCAATCAGTAACCACATGATCAGAGACAACCAGCATTCTGAGTTCTCCCCGATGAACTCTTCAATTAGCTTCTGAGCAGCACCCTGCGCACGCTCAACACTCCGAGGAGCCCTGCTCTCAGTCCCTGTCCTTGGGTTCACAAATCGGCTAAGAAGTTTCACCAAAGAAGTGGAAAGTGGGGGCAGGAATCTCAGCAACCGGTCCTAAAGGTCAAAGGAGGGAGGAGTCTAAGACAATGACTGCGTTTCCAGACCAGGGATGGCTCGGCCGAGGAAGACATTACACTGGATTCTGATGGATGAACAGGAATTTCTCTATAGAAGAGGAGATGCGCTTTGAGTTGAAAGCCACATTTCACCGGAGTCTGGCGGATTCCAGAGTACAGGGAGGCATCGCCCTGTACTTGCGAAGCCACAAAAAGCCTCTCGGAACACATTTGAGCTGGCATTTGAGTTGGGAGCCTAAGATGCCCGGAAAAGGCGATTAAGTAAAAAGGGTCGTATTACAAAATAAGACAGGGAGAGGATATTTGACTTGGGCTCCATGGGAGGAGCTAGAACTTCACCAGGCGAGGAGCCGGGAGCCAACGGCTTCAGGCAGGGACAGAAAAGTTTCCCAGAGCCACTCTCTAGGACCCAGGACGCAGGACCTGCTGCTCCGACTACGCGTTGACCTGCGCGGACACTGGTCAGACAGCTGCCTAGCTGCGCAGCTTTGCGGAGCAGCCCCGCAGAGTTGAATGCTTTATGTCCGAATCGACCAATGGGCTGGCGGCACCCGGTTGCCTGGGCTACGGAGCGGGAAGGGGCGTGGCCAGGGCACTTGGGGGCGGGGCTCGGGCGGGGCTTATATAAGCGAGCGGCGGGCGCAAGGCGGGGCGTGGGGTCGGTGGCTGCTGGGCGCGCGGGGCGCAGGCCGCGGGGCCGGAGCCGGGGGGAGCGAGCGAGCGGAGGCGCCGAGGATCCGATTCACTCGCTGGGGAGACCTATGGGCCGAAGCCGTGTAAATGCGTTTTAAGGCGAGTGCAGGGGATGGCTGGGGGGAGCCTCGGGGAGCCGGCGCCCTCGGCCTTTGGCCGCTGACCTGCTCCCCGGACCCCCTTGCCTCCTCTCAGCAGGGGCCTCGGCTCCGCAACTGCCACTCCTCCTCGGGGTGTTGCACAAGTTTCGAGGTCACCGGCGACCCCCCCTAGCAGCGCGCCTGGCTCTGGCCCCCGCGAAGGAGGACGGGGCTTGGTAAGGAGGCCTGGGGCTGGGGTGCGGGACCCTCGCCCTGCACTCGAGAGAGGGGTCCCGCGGACAGAACCCACCGGTGGTACTTAGAGCATTCGTAGCGTGTCAGAACCAACCACTTATAAATGGGGAAACTGACCCAAGGTCATGCAGCAGTGAGCAGACTCGAACTCAAGCTCCTGTTTTTGGCCCTTTAGGAAGGCGTGTTCCGGACTGGAGGTGTCCTCGTGACTTCCCCACCTAGATTTCTCAGCTCTGTTCCCACTCTGAGATTTGATTTTCCTTCCAATCCCAAATTTCAGCATTGGAACTCCAAAGCAATCCCATTTAACAGATGGGAATGCTTGTGCTGGGGAGCAGAGCGTGATTGGACAGGGAATCCAGGCCTGGGGGAGGTGAGGGATGCTGCAGAGCCGGTCCCCCAGTGGTCCCCTCCATCTCCCTCTCCCCGCAGTGTGTTGCATACTTTCTAAGGCGGTGGCCAAGGCAGCCAGCGGCGCTCCAAGGCAGCGGTTCCATCCAGTCTCTGGGCTCCTCCGGCTCAGCATGGCTGGCTACCTGAGTGAATCGGACTTTGTGATGGTGGAGGAAGGCTTCAGCACCCGGGATCTGCTGGAGGAACTCACTCTGGGGGCCTCACAGGCCACCACGGTGAGGGGATGGGAATGGGGCGTGGGTTGGTTCCCTGTCCTCTCCTCTGGTAGGAGGTCTCCATCCTCTCATTTGGTATCGGGTGCTTGATATATAGGAGACATGGCTCCTATCATTCCCAATTCTTGGTCCTTGTCCCAACATCTGCCCTCCCCGTGTCCCCTGCCTTGAGAAAAAACACCATCACAACATGCATGGTTTTCCCAGCCCTCCACTTGGGAACCTAGGAGTTCCAACCCCAGGGTCCCTCCCCCCTTACATCTGGACAGCTCCATGAAGTTCACCTTCTTAAGGCTGTAGGAACTTCGTGGGAGAACATTTGTAGTTAGTCCCCATCTCTCCAAAGCCCGCATGACCTTCTCCCGTTTTTCTTACCGCCTGCAACTCTCCTCCAAAGCAGAATCCGACAGCAGCAGTTCTTCACCACCGGAGGATGGTCTGCCTCCACAGCCCCACTTCCGGCTTTATATCCCAGTCTTGTGCGGTGCTCCATCAGAGTGGAGTCACTGTATATATGCCGTGCTGTCTGGCTCCACCTTTGCTGGGCTTTGCCCTGGGGGGCGTCTTTCTCCCCTTTCCTCATCTCTAGTGTCCCCTCCCATCACGGTTGCCTTTTTCCTAATTCCCTTCTGGTAGGGTTTGTATTTTCTATCTCCATGGCCACTAACCTATTTTGCAGAGCGTCCCATCCAGCTTTTATTGGAGGGACTTGTAATTAGTTCAGTTGTTTCTCTTCCAGAGCCAAGCCCTCTCTCTCA